TCAACAGATCGATTCATATCTTGTTCATGATTCTCGCTAGCTTCAGCTTCAGGTTCTTAATCTGTTATGTTGCGGAAACCCAGCAGATAGAGGTAGAATTAGTTAGTGTTAGATTGCGACTGAAGAGAATGGAACAAGAACAAGAAAACGAAAAATAGGCGAGCAGGACGGTGGTTGAATGATGAAGCCCTTTCTCCCAGCTACTCTTTTTCCATACAAGGTCATGCTTCACTCGAGTCCAATCAATAATAATGAGACCCAAAGTGACATACCAAAAGGCCAACCACAAAAAAAAAAAAAAGTTCTATAGGGAGGGAATATATATTTTTAATTATTTTTTCGTTGAATCAGGTGCCCTCATCTTATTAATCAAACTAGCAACATGCGGAAGAATGACACAAATATATATATTTTTTAATTTACCACAAATATGGCGGATTAAAAAGTATTGACACAGATATTGTGTTTTGGAGAAAAGAATCGGCGAGACCACCTGAGACTCAGGCGCTGCCGCTTTGGCTGACTTTTTGGATCGTTTTATTTAAAGTGACAGCGGCGGCGCCCAAGACTCAGGTGACACCGCCTGAGACCTAGGTGAGTTGGTGGGAAAATTATCCCAGGCGGTGGCGCCCAAGACTAAGGTGGCACTGCTGGCTTATTGGCCACCCCCTATAAAACCAACCAATTTCGTTTCAGTTTCACACCACAAAAAAAATTGTCCAAGACAAAGGAGAGAGCTCTGGTTGCTGCTGCGAAAATGGCTAATAGGTAAGAGACACATTTATTTTTGTAATTATATTATTCAAATGCTATTATGATTGTGTTTAGTTTTAATTAGTGAGTTTATTTTTTTGTAGTGATTTTAGAAGATTTGAACTAGTCGTTCGGTGGAAATCGGAGAAAGTAGAGGATAATTTGGGCGTCAAATTCGTTGGTGGTAGTAGTTTTCAGATGACGGTTCCATCCAGGGTCACATATCATTATCTTTGTGAGAATCTAATTCCGAGAATACGGCGTAGAGACGAAGCAGTACAAGATAGTGATGTGATCACATGTTTCACTTACCGTCTTCCAGAATGGCAGAATGGTGTTTTATTTCATTATGCGATGCCTATTGTGGATGATGATAGCTTGAATGTGCTTTGGAATTTTATGGCACAAAATCCTTATTGTTTGGGTGCTGAGATACATGTTGAGCTCAGTGAGGATCAGGGTGGAGAGGAAGAAGATGATACATGGAGCGTGCCATCCGATCATGACTATGATGACGGAGAGGAGGAAGATGAGGAGGAGGAGGAGGAGGAAGAGGGGGAAGGAGAGCAGCCTAATTATCCTCCATATTTTTACTTGCAGGGTAATGAAGAGGACGAAGAATACTCACTTGTTGATTCATATGGCGTAATTCCAATGCCTATTGTTGATAGTTTTGAAGGAGAATTCTACAAGGGGCAGATATTTCACTCGAAACAAGCTGCACAGATGGCGATTAAACACCACGGACTACAATGCAACTTTCAATATGGCGTGGTGGAGTCGTCACCTTCAATTTGGAAGGTCAGATGCTTGAGGCACAAGGATGACAATTGTCCTTGGATGGTGCGGTTTGGATGTCGAGATGTTGGAGGCGAATGAACTGTGAGAAAGGTTGAGTTGGTGCATTCTTGTAGCAGTACGACTCAACCGACGGATCATCGCCATCTTGATGTCGACATGATATCTGAGGCCGTCAAACATTTGGTACGTACCCAACCAAATCTGAGTGTTCTAACTGTGCAGGCCGAGTTGAAAGATAAGTTTAATATGCAAGTTACTTACAAGAAGGCTTGGTATGGGAAACAAAGAGCATTGGAGAAGTTGCATGGAAATTGGGAAGAATCCTACGATTTTTGCAAACATTCTTGCGGGTAGTCAAGAGAAAAATGCCAACATCAGTGATTGATTGGGTAAGAGTTCCTTCGACTCAACCAGGTCATTCGATATTTCAGCGAGTATTCTGGGCTTATGGACCTTGTATAGATGGATTCAAGAATTGTCCAAGCGTCATGGTTGTTGATGGAACATTTCTTATTGGGAAGTATAAAGGAGTGCTACTCATGGAGAGCTCATTTGATGGCCGGAAGAAGATTTTACCAATTGCATTTGCCATAGTGGAGAGCGAGAATACTGAGAGTTGGCCATGGTTCATAAGGAACGTTCAGGGTTTGACTGATCGAAATGATGTATGCATCATCTCAGATAGACATGCAGGACTCTATGAAGCCATGAATAACATCGGAAGATGTTGGGAGTGGAGGTGGTGCAAGCGACACTATGCAAGCAATTTGCAAAGGAAGTCTAAAAGCAGAATTATGTATAAGCAACTATTTCGAGTCGGTAAGCCTTCTTCATTTAATTTTGTTATTTATTTTCATGTAATTTTGTCATGAATTTATCTAACCCGTGTGGTTGTTTATTTTGTTAGCCGGAGAAAAACGGTTGGAGGAGTTCGATCGTCAAGTTGAGCAATTTAAGAAGGTGGCCACTGATAGAAATATTTCATGTGATAACTGGGTGGATCAACATCAGATTCGTTGGAGTTTAGCACATGATAACTACAATGGTGGGCGTCGTTGATCTATGCTGACATCCAACATGGCAGAAAGCATAAATGGTGTTTTCAAAGGTATTTGTGCACTTCCTATAGATTCTCTTGTGCAACATACCTATTGGCGATTGGTGGAGAAATTTGATAAGTACAGGTTGGAGACAGCAGTAGAAATTAAAAGTGGTCCTTCACAGTACTCCACCAAGTGCGAAGAGCTGATGAAGTCCTGGTCACAAAAGGCAGTTGGACATTCTGTGACAGCTCTTGATAAGAGTCAAGGCATCTATGTAGTTCAGACTCCACCCAACAATTTCAACATGACGGGGTCAAACACACTCACAGTGCACTTCGACGACCAAAACCGGGAGGGATTTTGCACCTGTGGTAAATTTTAAGGAAATAAAATTCCTTGCTCTCATGCCATTGCAGCTTGCAACCGAATGGGGGCTAATGCGTATAGGTTTGTAAACGATGTCTACAAGCTGGAAACAGTGCTGGCTTGTTATGAGACAAGTTTCGCACCTCTTGGTGAACCTAAGGGTTGGAAGAAGCATAATGGTCCTACTCTCTATCCTAATGTGCACATGATTAGGAAGCCGGGGAGGTCACGAGTTACAAGGATTCACAACGATATGGATTGGCCAAGGGAGGGTGTATCACACCAAGTGTGTAGCAACTGTAACCAAGCGGGACATAATGCATCAACCTGCGGTGGCCAAGCTAGTGGGAGTGGGAGCAACCGAAGAGGGAGTGGTGGCCATCCAAGTGCGAGAGGTGGTAGAAGAGGAAGTAGAGGTAATAGACGTGGCTGAGAAGTTTTTTCAAATGTAGCAGTTGTTGTATTTCTTTCGATTTACCATGTAGAAGTTGTTGTTTGAAGTTGTTGTAGTTTGGTATGTATTTGTTGTATTTCTTTCGATTAACCATGTAGAAGTTGTTGTTTGAAGTTGTTGTAGTTTGGTATGTAGTTGTTATGGTTTTTATCGTTAATAAAATACTAACATAAAAAAAAAATAGTCCACACATAATAGTCTGATAGAAGCTCGAGGAAGGATCTGCCTAAAACTGCAGTCGAGGCGGAGGCTGAAAGCTCGAGGAAGGATCTGCCTGAAACTGCTGTCGAGGCGGAGGCTGAAAGCTCGAGGAAGGATCTGCCTGAAACTGCAGTCGAGGCGGAGGTTGAAAGCTCCATGAAGGATCTGCCTGAAACTGCGATCGAGGCGGGTTAAACTGGAACCTACTCGTAGTAGGCCAGACGGGCTGTGCTCGCTGTCAATCTGAAATCCGGACCGGGTTAGGTACATCACGATGCTCACGTCTCTGTCTACGTGGCCTATGCTCCTGTCTGAACTGTGGCTCCGGGATGACCCAGCCCGGTGTCGGATCAGTACGCTCTGGCCAGGCAGTCATGACAGGCTGATCATACTGGGGCTGCACAGGAACTGTGAGATCAGGGTGCCTGCGCCTCTCCAAGCCAAGAGTAGCAACCCCGGATGCCATAATGTTGGCCAAGTCCTCACACTGGTCGGGGGTCAGCCCTCCAGCCCGTACACCGTCACGCAAACTCACCTCAGCATGCTCGAAAGTGTCTTACTAAAAAACACCAAAAAAATGTCAGATATTTCACACAGTTAACAACAAATTAAGCAAACAAATCAAATAATTAACCAATGCCTCCGTTGCAGCTCCTCTCTGTGTGCCGGAACGTCTGGTGACATCTCTATACCACTCCATATGCTCCGAGTGGTAGGCTAACTCCTCATCAGTGTATGGAGCCGTCGCTACAAACTCGTGTCGACGGTTCCGGAAAGCAAGCGACTCTCTGGAGGCGTGTACCAACTGCTACCCACGCGATGGCCCACGAGTAGTCTGACGAAGAAAAAACCTAACCTCAGCCTCAGGATGTGGTTGATGAGGCTCATGCTGCCTCATGCCAAACTGTCGGAGCACGCGGTCTGGATGATGCCACATCACCGATGAAAAGCAGATAAGTGGCACTACTGCTCGAAATGTCTCAGACTGTATCACACTACCTCTGAGATGAAGTGCTCTCTCAAGTTAAGGTTGCCACTACATAAAAAAATTAACGTTATTATCCCTAAATCTAAAAAAATAAAACTAATGAAAACTATTCTATAAAATGGAATGTTATATACTAACCACCATGGTGTCCATCGCGTCAAACCACAGCTTGTACTGAAATAGCTGGTCACCATACTGACGACTGTTGGCCGAAAGCCATCGAAGACCACATGGGGATGCATCCTCGGAATTCTGTGCCCTCGTCTCTGAATGTCGAGGTGCCAGATGTGGGAATCGCTCCCACGCCCAGAACTGCAGTAGGGCGACCCATCGACCAAGGTCACCGGCTAGAGAAGTGCCGGAATGCGATATGTGCAAAGTCGACCTACCCATCTCACGGTACAGGTAGGATAAAACAGCAGCTCCCCAGGCGAACCGTAGCTCCAGATCGATCCGGGAAAAGTACACCTCCCATCAGAGATAGAGCATAAGTTCGTCCAAACTGCTCTATAACCTCCTGTGATGCATTTTCCGGCAGATGACTGAATTCATCCCTCAGCCAAACAATCCTAACGACACCGACACCGCCTGAAAGATCAGTCGAAACCCGTCCTAACAGTCTCAAACCGATCGCCGACCACACCTCATCCGGTATATCAACTACGACGGCATCACCGTCGATCGTCAGACCTGACAGTGTAACAACGTCCTCTAACATGATCGTGATCTCACCAAACGGTAGATGGAAGGTCGACGTCTCGGGTCGCCAGCGCTCTACGAGCGCAGTAATCAAACTCGCATCGGGGTTCATAGGGACTAGGGGCACGACACTTAACAAGCCTGCCGCTTCGAGATATGGCCGATAAAGCTCATGGTACGTTACTAAAATGGTCGTACCTCGAACATGGTAAGATCGATCACCAGCCTATAGTGCACAAAACTTATATTAATTCATTTTCATTCGTAATAATTCTAATTTCACCTAATAAATTCTATTCTATCTAATCTAATATCAAATTATACTAATTTCAAAAAATTTGATACGTAATCCTATTCTAATTTCAGTACAGTTCAGTTCACCAACTAAAATAATCTAATTAGCTAATTAACTTTACATGAATAATTATCAAATACTTACCTCGTTTGTCCAAAAAGAGTCGATACGATGTTGGTCATGTCCCCAAAGAAGTACCGGATCGACCGGACCTGGATCAATTGTCGTCGGCGGTAATCTCATCGAATAAGGATCCATAAGCCTAGGAACTGCAAAAACAAAGCAACAAAACATTAAAAAAAACACTAAACATTTAAAAAAAAACCAAGCCGCCGCCGACGAGATTCCGGCCGCCGCCGGCGAGAGTCTCACCTCGCAAACGACCGCCGACTCCACCACGACCTCGCCGGCCTCTCCCCTTGCCTCTGCCGGCGACTGGTTCTTCGTCGGAGGACATCTCGGTCGGGCGGGAGCGCTTCTGTCAGCGGCGGCGACGCTTCACTCGGCAGCGGCGGCGCCTCTCTCTGCGGCGTCGGCGCCTTGGTCCTGGGCGGCAACGCTTGAGTCGGCGGGCCTGAGACGGTGGCGGCGTCTGTGAGGAAGGCGGCGCTGCTCTGGTTCGGGGTGTGGGGGGTGGGGGTGTCGGGAGGAGGTAAGAAGAAGAAGAGATAAGAGGGACTCCTAAGGTTCGTCGATTTAAAAAAAAAAGAGGGTGAGGCGGGGCCGCTGGGGACTTGGGCGCCAGCGCCCAGAACTGGGTTAAATATTTAGAACACGCGGCCCCGCCTTAGTCTCTGGTGGTCCCGTCCCAAACTTTGCTACAAAACACAATATTTGTGTCAATTCTTTTTAATCCGCAATATTTGTGACAAATTGAAAAAAAATTACAATATTTGTGTCTTTGTCCCGCAAGATGCTAGGAGAACCAAATACAACGAAAAGGGGGTATTTCAAGGATACCCCAAAAGCTTGTAAAACACTCAACTAACCACTACAGCAGAAAAACAACTACTGCTACTTAACAAAAATTACATCACGAAATCCCAACACACTCCATATCCTCCAGTATGCACCTTGCTGCTCCAATGATCAAAAGATCCCGCTTGATTAGCCCCTGCAAATCAGCTGTGGAGTGAGAAAGCCCACCATGTTTCTGCCTACATCGTTCCTTCCAGATGGAAGCCACCAGGAATCACCAAATCAACCCTGCAACAACACCATTTTTCTTCCTGCAGAAAGCACAAGCAACTTCCACAGTAGCAGGCCATGATGCACGATAAAAGTTGAGAGAGCATACACCCTGCACCACTTCTCTTGAGTACGAGCACTGAAAAAATAGGTGCTCTCGAGTTTCCTGTCCCTGTCTACACAAAACACAAACATCATCCACAACTTTTCCCCATTTCACTAGTTTGTCAAAGGTGACAATGCCATCAAGCAGTATCGTCCCTACAAGAAAATTATTTCTAGGAACAGAACCACGCCCCCATACTAGTTTATGTTGAGTCAAGCATATCAATGGCCTCAATCAAAGAAGGAAAATGCTGCAATCTTGTAAGTAAAGGAAAGAAAATCAAAGACAGCATAAAGGAGGAGAGATTCTGCAATCAGCAAGAACAATAAAGGAAATAACATCTCAATGGCTAGATATGCTCAAAGATGCTGATTTGCCACCTAGAAAATCAACACAAAGAAGGAAGGTTCTAACGGCTGAAAAATTAGAGAAGAAATCAGATCAAGAAGATTGGATCCAACAGTGCACAATGAGGCTCAAATGACCAACTCACTACAAATCAAATTAGAGGATTGAGTTCTCAATCAAATCATCACAAATAGGGAAGAAATTTGAATGACTAACGGTCATATTCCTCCCTATAAAAGGCGACCTGAAGAACCACCAATGGCAACCTTTCAAGTGATCAAATAGCTAGCTAAGACAAAAGGGGATTTTGTGAGAATAGCTAGATTGATAGGAAAGAGGATTTCTCAAAGGGTTTGGGGAGAATTGCTTTGAGAGTTAGTGTTGGGGAAACACTGGTTACGAGTTGCTGGGGAAGCAATTCGGGTCTGAAAAGAGAGTGTTTGATCAATCGGGTTGAGATTGATCAAAGGGTTCTTGGGTAGATAGCTTGTAACGACGAACTTCAACGCAAAATCATAGTGAATCGTCGGAGATCACATAATCGTGATTCTCCGACCGTGGAGTAGTCAGTATTGGCATTCTTATTCTCCCAATACTGGAAACCACGTAAAAATTGTCGTGTGTCTTCTCATTCTGTTTTTCGGATTCTGCTGTGTATGTCCTTCTGTGTGTGTTCTGTGTTGTGCAAGGAAATTCATTTAGGAGCAGATAGGGAAGAAGTACTGTGAGGACCAGCTTGGGGAACTTGTTTGGAGCCGGGCTTGATTTGAGCTTCACTGCAACTGCCTGGGTTTTTCACAGCATAGTTCTTGCTGTTCTTCCCTGTTCTTCACTCGAACAGAAGCAGAGTTTGTGTTTGATCTAAGTTCCAAGCGGGAAGGAGAACTTGATTTGAATTAAAACTCAGTCGTTTTGCTTTCCTCAATTAGAAGCTGGGTCGGGACGAGAATAGAGTGGGCTGTACTTCTGGGATGGTTATTTCGCCCGAGTAATCTCAGTGTTAGGGAATAGAAGCCCAGTAGCGTGAAACTAGGTTAAGATAAGTGGGCCTTACATTTTATAGGCTTTGTTGGGATTAAATTTTAATCTGACTATCTTAGTGTGTCATTATTGCCTAGGCCTAAGGTGGAAGGGTCTTAGATAGTTAGAATTAAAATTTGCCTTGAGATTGATTTGTGCTAATCATTTATATTGAGTTTGATTTGTAGCAAAGACAGGTGACACGTTAAAACACAACACCTAACAATGGCCAAGTGTAACCAATGAAAGGGACTGCAGTATAGTGGCACAAGTAATAAATATCGAATCCACGGGTCTCTAGAGTTACTATTACTCAGCTTCAGTTCATTATCTAGCAAACTAGATTAAGGATTGATTTACTAAACTACTCTACTAACTACTCTACTAATTACAAGTTGGGAACTCACTTAGGTATGATTCCCCCTAGCTCCTCAATTAGGTCCAAGTTGCAATTACCTTTGGTTGATCTACTGTTGATTAAACTGCGGAAGATCCTAAATTAGCTTGGAATCTCTTAAGCTGACCAAGCCCTCTCAGACAGAATACCCGGCAGGTGACTAGCCTTCACCGGGATAGACTGCTAAGGCGATTCACACAGATCTCCACTACTGGAATGAATTCCAGTACAAAGCAGTAAATTGATTGACTCTCGCACAACCAATTCACCACTATCAATCAAGGAAGCTCTCTTAACCTAATCAGATTCTATCTATCATAGGTTAAAGCAGAAATCAAGAGAATTTGATCAAGATTCAATTGACTCAATAAATCATGCCTCAATCGATTATAATCAAACAATAAAGCATCCAAAACTTCATACAAGAAAGATCCTAACTCATGGAACTAGGGTTCCTCAAAACCTAAGTGCAGGGAAGTTACTCCATAGAGAAGAGAGAGACTGCAGAAATCTGATCTAGATCTTCAATCTCCATCTCCAAGCTTGATTCCCGAGCTCCAATGGCGAAGAAATCCTCCAAAATAGCTCCAAGAATGTTTCCAAGTCGCTCTCTCTCTCTAGGGTTCGTCCCTTGGGTGTTTGGGATCCAAAACCCAGCTCTCCTCCCTTTTGGCTCGGATTAGGCTTAAAAACAGGCTTCCCCGAGTTGCACGGCCAGGTGCACGGCCGTGCACAACACCATTCTGGCCGTGCACCCTCAAAACGCACCGTTTCACTTAATCGATCTCAGCCATCTTGCACGGCCAGGTGCACGGCCGTGCAAGGCTGGATTTTGCCCGTGCAAGGCCTCGGCAGAGAGCGCACGGCCAGAATTATATGTTGCACGGCCGTGCGCCTCCCTGGTCTGCCCGTGCAGCTTGCTCAGCCTCTGTTTAATGCTTCGTTTCTCCCTCGTCCGGACTCCGAATCAGTCGCCGTTTGATCCCAGACGCTCGTAGTCTCGTCCTCTTTCGTTTCATAACAAGCTTGCATGATTCTCTGTCCATAAAGTGAGGTAGAAATCAATTCTTCTTCAGGTCATGCCCGAGTTTCTGCTCCCGAATCGCCAATTGATTTCTGATTGACTTGAAACTTGCGCCTATGCTTCACTTTATGTGCTAGGACCTGAAATGTGACAAAGGAACACAACCTAGCATAAAATAGGCCAAAGACACGGTAATTCAAGCTCAAACAATCAAGAAACAAAGGGGAAAACATGTGCAAATACCGAGTCATCAAATCCCCCCACACTTAACTGTTTGCTTGTCCCCAAGCAAACCTAACTCAAACCAATGCAACTCTCCAGACCTCTATAGCAACAAACAACCTCGATCGTAGGTAGCGGACTTCCTAGATCATTTAGCAGCTTACGAGGTCAACCGACGCACAAGTCATCTCATAGCCTCTTCGGCGAGAACGCTAGTCTCGAGTCGGCATCATGGCAAATAGTGAACAGAGGACAAATGATTCGTGGATGAAGAGACTCTCAAAAACAAAAGATCATGGACTCACATTTTTCAAGGTGCTCGATTTTCTTTTTGGAGATGGTTGGAACCCCCTTTTCTTTCTTCTTTTTGCTTGTTTTTCTGTTTTTCTCTTTTTTTTTTCAAGGGTTCCAACCTGTTTTTGTAGAAAACGGGGGCTCCCACCTAGCAAAGGTTTTGCGGGAGCCCGGCTCTTACCGGCCATGCCAGGAGCAGTTGTCTCGAGCCTCGTGCG